CGGGGCGGGCGGGCGGGGTTATATTTTGCCTTTTCTTTCTTAATATACACAGCCATTTTTTCACAACAAGAAACTTAAAAAAAACATGTTTAAAATGGTAAATTTGTGTAAGGAAATATCAATTTTGCAATTACGCTCCGCCCCTCGATCAGGCAACCAATAAAAAATGTATTACGGTTGAGTTCCAGACGGGCGGGTCGGGCTTCTCTTTTGGTTTTCTTTTTTAATTAATACATTTAGTTTTCTTTGTATAACACAATTACTTAAGAACATATTTCACATGGCAATTTCTCGTAGAAAAATAAGGATTTAACAATTAAGCTCCGCCTCTCGGCTTACGATGAATAAAAAAAATCATCAGAATTGAGACAGGGCGGGTGGGCGGGGTTATATTTTGCCTTTTCTTTCTTAATATACACAGCCATCTTTTCATAACAAGAAACTTAAAACATAGTTGAAATGGTAAATTTGTATAGGGAAATATCGATTTTGCAATTAAGCTCCGCCTCTCGGCTTACGATGGATAAAAAAAATCATCGGAATTGCGACAGGGCGGGTGGGCGGGGCTTATATTTTGCCTTTTCTTTCTTAATATACACAGCCATCTTTTCATAACAAGAAACTTAAAACATGGTTGAAATGGTAAATTTGTATAGGGAAATAACAATTTTGCAACTACGCTCCGCCCCTCGATCTGACAACCAATGAAAAATTTATCACGGTTGAGATCCAGACGGGCGGGTGGGGCTTCTCTTTTGGTTTTCTTTTTTAATTAATACATTTAGTTTTCTTTGCATAACACGATTACTTAAGAACATATTTCTCATGGTAATTTCTCGTAGAAAAATAAGGATTTTGCAATTAAGCTCCGCCCCTCGGCTTACGATGAATAGAAAAAATCATCACAATTGAGACAGGGCGGGTGGGCGTGGCTTATATTTTGCCTTTTCTTTCTTAATATACCCAGCCATCTTTGCATTACAAGAAACTTAAAACTTAGTTGAAACGGTTTTTGCAAGGAAACATGGATTTTGCAATTATGGGGCGGACAAATTTTCAATTTTAAACATGTTTTAAGTTTCATGTTGTGAAAAGAAGTCTACACATTGTAAAACATCACGGCAAAATGGTAGCCCGCCCACCCGCCCTATCGCCATTGTGATGATTTTTTTATTCGCCGTGAACCAAGAGGGCGGAGCTTAACTGCAAAATGCTTTTTTCGTTACAACAAATTAAAAACATGTTTTTGAGTATCGTGTTGTCTAAAGAATTTTATGTAGGTATATTAAGAAAAAAGGGAAAAATATAAACCCCGCCCACCCACCCTGTCTCAATTGTAATGTTTTTTTTTTATTCTTAGACACTTAAAACAGGTTTAAAATGGTAAATTTTTGTTGGGAAATATAGAATTTGCGATTAGGCTCCGCCCCTAGGTCTGGCATCGAATCAAAACTTCATTACTACATGTTTAGATTAGGGCAGGTATGGGTGGGGCTTAATCTTAATAAGGATTTTGCAGTTAAGCTCCGCCCTCTTGGCTCACGACGAATAAAAAAAATCATCACAATCGAGATAGGGTGGGTGGGTGGGGCTATATTTTGCCTTTTTTTCTTGATATGTGCAGACTTATTTCGATAAAAAAGAAGTTTAAAATGAGTCTAAAATGGTAAACTTTTGTAGTAATCAACTTAAATCCTTCAATTTTCTTCTACAACTCCTTTAAATACGGCAAAAGTTGAAAATCAAAGTTACTATCAACGGCAACTTGGCTTTTTTTTTCATCTATTTAAGCTTTGTTTACCCGTTTTTTATCTATTCATGTTTTAAACAAACATGCCAAGAAAAAAAGTCCATTTTTGCCTTCTTTTCTTAAAATGTGTAGTCATCTTTTTACAACAACAAACTTAAAACATGTTTAAAATCATAAATTTGTATAGAGTAATATCGATTTTGCAGTTACGCTCCGCCCCTCGGTCTGACAATGAATAAAAAAAATCATCAGAATTGCGATAGGGCGGGTGGGCGGGGCTTATATTTTGCCTTGTTTTTCTTAATCTGCATAGCCATCTTTTCACAACAAGAAACTTAAAATATGGTTAAAATGGTACATTTTTGCAAGGAAATATGGATCTTACAATTATAGGGCGGATGCAAAATCGATATTGCCATATACAAATTTTCCATTTTAAACATGTTTTAAGATTTATGTTGTGAAAAGAAGTCTACACATATTAAAACAAAAAGACAAAATATAAGCCCGCCCACCCGCCCTGTCTCAATTGTGATGATTTTTTTTATTCGCCGTGAACCAAGAGGCCGGAGCTTAGCTGCAAAATACTTATTTCTGTACAAAAAATTAAAAGTGAGTATCGTGTTGTTTAAAGATTATCATCTATATTATTGTTGTTTTATTATATGGGTAAAAACTCAAGACGGAGTCATAAACTACTATGTACAATTTTGAAGTGGGGATGATCAGACAAAAATTAGTCAGCGTTTTACTATTACATGATATTCCTAATACAAATAGACAATTTGACAACAATCGGTCCAGTACTTTCGGAGATTATTTGTCTAATAAAAATCGGGACGGCAAACAGACGGACGGACAGACAGACTTCAATATTCAATTCTTGAAATCACAATTTTTAAATTATTAGTTACTTTCTCGGTGTTAGATTCTCAGAATTTATTATCTTTTTAAAACAAAATGGCGTCTTTATTTCTCAAAAGTATGAAGTTTTGCAGTCCGAGCCGAAGGCGAGCGTTGCCAAATATTGAAATTCACCAGACTTTTTCGGCATAATTCTGAGATATAGTATAATATTAACCACTCTAAACCAGACTATAGGATAACAAAAATAATAAAATAGGGTTGTTTTCAGGAATATTTATTTCCATGTATTTTTACATTCCACAGTGCATAAAATGGGTTACTTTATTAATGAATTAATTTTTAATCTAAACGCCTTTAACACAAACAATAATTATTTTCTTTTTTGTTCTATTTATGTGTAAAACGATGTTAGTCATGATAATGGAATTTGCGTGCCTTGTATAACTATTTATTTTTGTATTAATATATATCATGACGTGACAAACACAAATAACTATAATTTGAAAACATTAAAGAACCACAAAAAACTTTTGTTTTACTCACAAATGAACTACATAAATCGATTAAAAAACCTATTGTTACTAAAATCAGTATTGTGAAAACCTATCAGAGCGTCAAGGTTATCCCCTCGAAGAAGCTGATGACGTCATGTCATACATCTTTAGGTAAACCTCGTTTTAAATATACGGCTTCATTTGTTTATGTTGTAGTTAACATGGTAACTATTTCGTGGTGCCCATAAAAACTAATTAAGTCATAATTTTTCTATCTGTTCTAGTCTACAGCGTTTATTACCTAGTGGTAATTTATATCTTTATACAAAATACCATGTACCATGAAATATACACTTAAAAGTTTTGAAAATCCCGAGTACTCGATATACAAAAAACAAACTTCGCGTTTTAATATTAAAACTATCATCATAACTAGAAATTTCCATTACCATTTCTCTCCACCACCGTTTATTTCTAATTACATCTGCTAATCAGCTTTTCCAGCCCGCCGAACAGATCATCATAAAATTCCATTAAAGTCAACAAACGCTCATATTGGCAACATTTACCGGTAATTGCCGTGCACCTACAACAATTTAAGTGCACATGTAAGAAAATTACAGGGTGAACAACCGCGCCTTCGGCAATTAATGTAAAATTCAAACTTAACGTATCAAACAGGGAGCGGCCACATAATGGACTGTATGAGTTCTTATATAAAATAATTGCTGTGGTCGTTCATTCATGAACAATTCGCGTAGGTAATAATTTAATAATAAGTAATAACACGTTATAAAGAACCCGCATAAACACTTTACGCTCCACCTGGACGTTTTAATCACTCGTTTCCTCCTAATTAGCCCATAGACGTCAAAACGCACAAACGGTATTTTCGTCTTTGGACACTTTGCGTAGAACAACAACGGCGTTGGCGGAATTTTCGCACAACGCAGTTTTCGAAAAAAAATTGTATGTATTGTCGATTTGTCAGTCGAGTTCCAACTCCAGCCGCTAGGGGCGCCCCCGTCGTGCATGTCAACGGCCAATAGAGAAGACGTTTTTCCGAGAACGGCTAGCGTGCGTGAGATTCTTGGCCTGCTGTTTTTACAACACCCACCTCCAATAAAATAAATATAACGAGCGCTGGAGTTTTTTCGTGTCTCGAGGGTTTTTCTGGGAGAAGAGGATGGGTAACGAGCTTTTAATACGCCAATTTGGTACAGCTACTGGAACGGCTAGGCCGCACTTAATTTGTTGTTATTATAGGAATCATTTTTATTAAGAAAATGGGTGGAAAAATCACTGTAATTTGCGGCACGCCTCGACCGATTCATTTTCCGAGAGAAAAATCGTGATTTAAATATTATAATCGACTAGGGAGCGCTAATAACGTGGTGGAAACGCCCACGCTTAATTATTTCCATTAAGGCCGCACAGAGATGGCGCTACCGTCGTCACGTCGCCTGATTCCAGGACCGTAAGTGCCCAAGATAAAAATCTAAATAAAGAAACTGCAATTAAATCGGTATTAGCAAACAACATCGCTGCAAAGTAACTAATTCTGTAGCAATTTCCGCGACACGATGTTTCTTTGCAGAAACGGGTTCCATTTTTTAAATGCGCCGTCGTTAACTTTTATTGGTTGTAATTGTTTTATCAAAATAATTACTACGCGCATAAAAAGAAACGATAATTAAAATACTCGCATAAGAAATAAATCAAAGGTGAGTACTCAATGTTTACATAAATTAGTTGCGTATAGCCGCCAATTATCGATGATGATACTGCTAATAACGTTTTTATTTGAGAAATGTTAATAATGTTGTTCCGCGCCCGATTACCTCATCGATTATTATTATTATTATTATAGAGATATTGTTTGTTTCCAGGTCTGGTTCCAGAATAGGAGGGCCAAGTGGCGCAAGCAGGAGAAGGTAGGCCCGCAAGGGCACCCCTACAACCCCTACCTGGCCCCCGGCACTGGTGGGCCGGCCCCGTCGGTGGTGGCGCCCTCCCTGCCCAACCCCTTCAACTTGCCCTTCGGTCTGCGCAAGCCCTTCGATTCCCTTACCTTCCGCTACCCGCCGCACGTGCTCCCCAGCTACCTGCCCTCGCCCCCGGGATACCACCGTGGGGCGCCCTCGCTCCTGCCGCCGTCCGTCAGTCTCTACCCCTCGGCCAGCTCCTTCCAGACTCTGTTGGCCAACATCTCGGCGGCGCAGAGGCCCAAGCTCCCGGCGCAGGAGTTCACGGCTTCGCCGCCCCTTTCTCCGGGGGCCTCCACCGCCGTCACACCGCCGGACGTGGACAGGAGGAGTTCCAGCATCGCGTCCCTGAGGCTCAAAGCCAGGGAGCACGAAATGAGATTGGAGATGCTGAGGCAGAACGGGGATCTGATTAGTTGAGGTGGAGGGGGGTAGTGATATTGAGCCATTTTTCGCTGAGTATTAATGAACCGGCATTCGATACGTACTTGTAAATAGTTTTATTTTTATGATTATTTTGTTGTAAAGTGAAGTTTGTAACGCTAGATTGTACTAAGAGTAAGGTTTTTTTTGATTAAGTAGATAGTATTTATTGAAATCTAATGTGAGATGACGTAACGAATCCGTCCATGTATTGTACGTACTTAAAAAAAAGCAATAAAATATTTTGTAAGAAGTGGAGTTTTATTATAAAGCGCGACTGAAGTGTTGTCGCGACTTGAAATTAGTGTTAGTGAGTTGAGTGGAAAATTCTGGTGCGACAACATGTGTCACACTTCGCATAAATCTCAAAAATTATTTTCAAAAAATCGTCAAAATTTCAAAAATCTCGAAACTGAAGAGTTGTCGCGCCAAAAAAATTGCGCCAATCAATTATTTAGATAATTCTAGTGTGACAATAAGTGTCACACTTGACCCCAATTTCAAAAAAGTGTCAAAATTTTCACCAAAGTGTTGTCGCGCCAAACAAACACTACGAACAAGTCAGTCAGATCAAAATAAGAAGTTAAAGGTAAGTCAGTGAATTTGTTGTTTGTTCGATGACGCAGCGGTTTTAAAATTTCCGATAAAATATGTTGCAAGAGCTTCACCTTTTATTCTTGTGCTTTCACCGTTCAATTCTAGAAAAGTCAAATAAATAAGCACAAATAAATTTTAATTAACAATTTCGCATGTACGCAGTAATTCAGCGTCATAACATTTTCTCATTACCAACGTGTTATTATATTAATACAAGATAAGAATAATTAAAATCATAAATGCTTGTAATTATAGTTGGTGCTCGGTTCGTTATGTTGGTGAGCCTGATCTTCATTTGATAACAGGATATTAATTGGGAGCACTATTTTATGGGAGCAGGACCGCCTCTGCTGCGTGCAGGGGCGTGCTACGAAATATGGCTTATGGGCAATTTCACACGAGATTATTATACAAAATACGGACTAAATCGCAAATATAATAATTCTAAAGTCGGTTCAGCACGAAGAAAAATTGATCGGAGATACCAGTGCACATTCCTTGCCGACTTGGTCTATTTTTTTGACTTTGATATTAATTTCAAAGTTCGTCAAAATTTTCAAAAAAATTCAACGAACAGCGTAATGAAAATGACATCTGCTCGTTCATGTCAATTTTCTAATTAGATAGTATTTAATTAACCGCCACTTTTTACCCGCAGACAAAATCCTCGCTTGACCAACCCCTATCTCTTTGTCAATTAATCAACATTGGCTTTAGATCCATCTGTTAATTATTTTATTCTCATAAATCCGGTCTGAAAAACTAGATCAAAATCATGTGCACGTGCCCTAATTACCCTCACTCATATGAAAATACCTCCAGGAATTCAACTCGTACAAAGCCACCAAAATCCGGCTCTAACAAAACTCTAACTCAATTAGCACAAAATCAGGTGCGCCTGGGGTCCTAATTACCACCATCTCTAGCAATTCCACCTGCTAGTCCAATCCACGTCCAACAAAGGCCACATTACACAATGTCGATTGATTGATTCGTCAAAAAGCCTCTGATTTCTCAAAGCCACAAATGACGCAATCGTCCCTAATTACCACTACTTTCGCTCATTATTTAATTAACACCACCGTGATTTATTAGAGTCCCCCAGTCGCCCCGTGTTCCGCTCCACCACACTACCGCTCCTGGCTAAATTATAAATAATCTAATTACGATCTATGATCACAAAGTGGCGGTTTAGTAATCAGAAACTCAGACGGTAGCGGTACATATAACTTGTACACTAAATTGTGTTTTAATAAAATTTTGAAGAATTTTGACGACACGTGAGCCGAGACGGCGAAATCCGCTTACCGGGAGAGCGAAGAAGACGGTAGTCGTGACGTGACGGTAATTACGGTATGCATGTAATTTAATTTCATCAGGGTCGGACTGGGAGGGGCCCACTGACAGTCTGATTACAGGGCAGCCTGAGACTGCTCAAGGCACGTCATCTCGGCTAAACGCGCTGGGCCTTTGTCCGCGGAGCGCGCGGAGGGCGCTTCTCTGACAGACCGACCAGTGACATTTCGGTTTCACAATATCGCTTTTCTGTCCTGGACAATAGTTGATTAATCGAAAAATTCGGTTATGAAATGTTTCCCCGACCTAGAAACGTATATTGTTTAAGCCGAGCCCGGCCGGCCTTTTTTGTACACCTGTTAACTAGACCTTAATATATTTCTCATTATTTATTAAATTAAAAATATCCATCACCGGCAACTCGATTATTCCATGATTAATTTAGTCCGTGGGCCTGTTCTGATGAGTTCAGGTTTTAAACGGGCATTAATTTTAATTAGATAATTGCTTAAAGGCGATCCCGGAGCACCAGGTACATGTTGGCCTCTGACAGCCAGTGAAATATAGTAGGCTGCGAGCTTTACCTCATCTAAATGCTGATCGCCGGCTCTTATCTCGTGAATTTTAGTACCGCCAAAAGTGAGACGGCGGTTTCGCCGCGGTCGACGGACGACCGGGATCCAGGTGGCGACGAAATGGGGCGATTTTTGGAATGGAGTGGTTGTTTCAAGGAACTGGGTTAGTGAATCGGGGCGTTGTGGGTGGGCCGGGACGGTATTTATGGGTTTGAACTGTGCCAGGTGAAGAGGTCATGCGGAAAACTGACACGCAGATGGTTTTGTCAGAATTTTTTACTTGGTTTACTTGCGGCTTTCGATTACTTGGTGTTTGTGTTCTCTTCGCGAAGAAGTGGCAGAAGAGTCAAATGTTACATATTCACCTGCTGGCTATGTTAGAACTATAGAACCGGTTACTTAAAATTTCGGACGTATTTTACGATTGTTGTGTAAATCATGAAGCTCATAATTATCACTTTCAAAAAAACTCCGATGTCGTCACCACCACGTCATACCATTCTTCTTTCTCAGATTTAACATCTATCACAAATAAGTTTGGAATTAAATTTAACTTTTTTGTTGTTTCGGTCACAAAATGTTGAACGCCTAATTGCCAAAAATATTTAAATTTTCTACGGATATGATATAAAATCTCTCCTATTTTCGAGATTCTTGAAAGACAACTTTCGACCATCCTTCGCTTTTGTATGAGTAATTCAAAATCTTAAATTGACAAAAAAAAATATTATTATTATTATTATTGATTTGGGGCAGAGGCAAAAGCCTATTATACTCGCCAGTAGGACAACAAATCCAGCAGCTAAAACTTACTGCTAGTCTTATTAAAGATGTTGAACTTTTTTTTTTTCAATTGCATCAAATAAATGTTTCAAATAAACGTAGTGTTTGAGGAAATAAAAATTTTGGACAGGTCAATGCTGTACTGACGGGTGATGATGTTGTAGGCACTGTACCGTTAACAACTTTAAATAAATGATAATTAGATACTAATTAATTTCTAATTAGTATCTCAAAATTTAGCGTTTAACTGTAATACAACTCACATCAGATAGGGGCCGTACTTACGTAAGTTTGGTTTACCCTCAAAAATTAAGTACTCATAAGTGGCCGGAAGAGCTTGAAAAAATTTTGACGAGGCAATTATTGAATGTTTATGGCGCGAACACAATAATACCAGAAAGACCAACCTTGGTTATTTCTCCAGAGATGGTGGCGGTTGGTCGAGGGCAAGTCGGGGATGTCGAAGTGAAAATTGGAGCAAGGCGATCGAACAGCGTGCGGCAAAAAAATAACATAGGCTCCAAATGGCTCAGAAAAAATATGGTGCCGTTAAACTATAGCGCTTGAACTCGACAAAAGTCTGGATCGGCATCAAGGTACTCCAGTAACTCCAAAAAACCCTAAAATTAGTGGTTGATTTAGCCAAGCGAAAAACAAAATTAAATATTACCTCGTGCAGCACGGTCAAGTCGCTTCTGCCGTTGAAAAAAGTACGAAAAAGTGTCCGTCGTCGACGATAAAAACGAAACGGATAAAGAGCCGATAGTGAGGATTACAAAAACACGCTATGATTCTTCGATCATATACCCCATTACCACTAAATTAAATAACTTAAGCACTACTTTCTCTGTCTCCTTGTCTTTTGCGTCTGTTTGTCTTCTTTCTGTTCCTTTGCCTCTTTTTCTTCTTTATATCTCTCTGCCTCTATGTCTTTCATCTGTATCTCTTTGTATTCTCTTCGTTGCGCTGCGTCTTTTTGTCTCTCTGCCTGTCTGCCTTGTCCCTTTGTACCTCTCTCAGCGTGTCCCCCTATCTCCCTGCTTTCCCTTCTCTTTATCTCTTTGTCTCTCCGTGTCTCTGTCTTCTCTTTGTTTCTCTGCCTCTCTGGTTCTTTACGCCTTTTCTCAGCTTTTTGTCGCTCTGTTTCCTGTCCCTCTGTCTCTTTACCTCTCTATCTCCCTGTCGTTCCCTCTCTTTGTCTCTCTATATCTCTGCCTTCTCTTAGTTGTTATTGTCCCTTTATCCCTCTGTCTCTGTATCTTCTTTCTTTGTCTTTCTGTCTCTCTATCTTCCTATCACCCTGCTTTTCTGTTTCTCTCTGTATCCCCGTCTCTCTGTCTCCTCTATGTCTCTTTGTCTCTCTATCTTCCTCTTTTCCTCTGCATTTCTATTTCTCTGTTCCCTCTGTCCCTCTGTTTTCTTTCCTTTTCTGTTAAATATACGACTACTCGTAATATGTTAAAAATTTCATAAATTTGTTCCCATTTTCTTTTTCATTTCTCTCTTTTTCTGTCTCCCATGTGACCATATCTATTTACGTTTTAGCTGTCCCTCTGCTTCTTTTTTTTCTTCTTCTTCTTCATATCTTCCTGTCTCCCAGTCTTCGATTTGTTTTTGTGTCTCTTTATCTCCTCTATGCCTCTTTGACTCTCCCGCTGTCCCTCTGTCTTTTTATCTGTCTATCTCTCTGCCTTCCACTTAGTCGTTATTGTCTTCCTATCCCTCTGTCTCTCTAGCTTCCTGTTGTCCTTTTTTTTTGTCTTTCTATTTCTCTGTCTCTTTATCTTCGTGCCTCTCTACTTTTTTATTTCTATCTGTCTCCCCATCTCTGTCTGTGATTTTGGCAAATGACATACCGTCCAAGAAAATAGAGGGCGGGTAGGCGGGCCTAGTATTTGCTAAGATAAGACTGATTTTGGCAAATGACATATACTATAAGAGAAGAGAGGGTGGGTGGGCGGGGCTGATCTTTGAATTTTTGACATTTTCGACC